TTCTTTCCCTCCTCTAGAGGCCTTAGACAAGGCGACCCCCTTTCCCCTTCCCTCTTTGTTCTTGCGGCGGACTACCTCTCTCGCTGCCTTGACGGCTTCATCCGCGACTCTCCCCATATGACCTATAGCACCTGTGGCTATGGTCCTACCGTCTCTCACCTCTCTTACGCGGATGACATCATTATCTTCACCCGGGCGGATGATGATGGACTGGTCGAGCTTATGCGCCTTTTGGAGCACTACGGCTCGGTCACCGGTCAGCTGGTCAGTGTGCAGAAGAGCACCTTCATCCTTTCATCTGCCACAGTGGACAGGTGGGCTCAGCGGGTCCACGACATTACTGGCTTTGCGCGTGGCGACCTTCCCATTACCTACCTCGGGGTCCCTTTATATAAGGGCAACCTCACGAGAGCGCTCTTTGCGGGTGTCAGGCAGAGGATGGTCGACAGGATCTCTGGTTGGTCGCATAGATATCTTTCTTTCGGTGGTCGGCTGGTGCTGATCAAGAGCACTCTTAGCTCTCTTCCGATTCACTTGCTTATGGTCCTCGACCCCCCTAGGTCTACTCTTGACGAGCTTGACCAGATTATGGCTCGTTATTTCTGGGGTTATGAGGACGGGTCTGGGAGAGAGAGACGTACTCACTGGGTGAGTTGGGACTCTATCTGTCGCCCCCTCCCAGAGGGTGGCCTGGGCATCCGCCGCCTCAGGGACATTGTTACAGCTTTCTCATACAAACTGTGGTGGCGCTTCAGGGAAGGAAAGTCCCTTTGGGCTCAGTACCTTCGCGGCAAGTACTGCCCTAGACGTGCCAACCACCCTTGTTGGGTCACGGCTGTCGATCATGATAGCAGACAGTGGCGGCGCCTCACTAGGGTCGGGAGACGCGCCCAGGATCACATCTTTTGGGTTTTGGGCGGGGGCGATGTCAGTGTTTGGGATGAGTGGTGGGTAGGTGATAGGCCGTTGTCTAGGGATAGGCAGGTGTCGCATTCCCCCTACCTGCTAGTGAGCGACCTCTGGACGGACGGGTCGTGGGATAGGGGAAAGCTTGATAGGGAGTTGGGGACTGGTGCGGGTTTTAGCGAGCAGTTATTAGATCAGATCCAGCAGATCCCTATCTCGGGGGACGGTTCAGATAGCATGAGGTGGAGACTTACATCATCAGGTGTGTTTTCTACTACCTCGGCTTGGGAGAAGATAAGGCTGAGGGATCGGCCTAATCTCCTCTTCGGGGCTATCTGGAGTGACCTTTTTACGCCTACTATCTCGGTATTCCTTTGGCGCCTTCTCTTGCGCCGGATACCCGCCGATACTGTGCTACACGCGAGGGGGATCTCCTTCCCCTCTCGGTGTGTGTGTTGTTCTGAGACTGGACGCCATGAGACTGAGACCTTTACCCACCTTTTTCTAGAGAGTGAGATTGTGAGGAGAGTGTGGGAGCATTTTGCCACTTGGACTCATATATCCCTACCCACCACATACAGTTTTTTTGAGCTCCTGAGTTTTTTCTCACAGAGCACACACCTTAGACACGTGGGCTTCCTCATTCCTTGTCTGATCCTTTGGTTCACCTGGACAAAAAGGAATAGTGCGAAGCATAGGGATACTACTTTTATGTTTTCTCACATTGTTTTGCAGGTTGAGAGACACATTTCACTCCTCATCTCTTTGGGCAGGCTCACGGCCCGAGACTGGACAGGCTGTACGCCACCGCACCGCTACATGGTGGCCCCACTACCGCCTGTTCGGACTCCTCGGGCCAGAGCTGTTGTTTGGCTTCGACCTGACTCTCCGTGGGTTAAGCTGAACACTGATGGCTCCTTCGATTACCACACTGGAATTGCCGGAGGAGGAGGCTTGATTCGGGATCATAGCGGCGCCCTCTTCACCGCCTTTCACGCGTCCATTCAGGCCTCCTCGAGCTACGACGTAGAGATTCAGGCACTACAGATTGGCCTTCAGATAGCTGCCCACATCTCCAGTCATATATGGATCGAGCTGGATGCTGCGGCTGTCGTCACCCTCCTGACTTCGGGCCATCAGGGCTCGTGGCAGATTCAGCACCCGCTTATGCGCATTAGAGATCTACTTCGGTCAGTCCATCACAGGATTACGCATATTTTCCGTGAGGGGAACAGACCTGCTGACTACCTTGCCAGTCTTGGTGCCACCATACCCGATATACATACGTTCCAGACAGACACTGCTCCACTCCGTCTTCGCACGCTTATTCGGATGGACCAGCTTGGATACCCGTCTTTCCGCTGCCAGTAGATTAGGTTTTTATTATCATTTGATTAGATTCGCATTTTCATTTCCATTTTAGGGCACCTGTTAGCCCGTTGACAGACTCTGTATTTTTATTTGTTTTGCTTGTGAGACCTTGTAGACTGTTGATATTTTTGACCCCCGTCTTGGGGTCTTGATCTATGCACAGGTTGGGGATCCAGCCCAATCCCCCGCCCTCCCGGGGCGCTGTTTGATTAAAAAACTGTCAACGCCAGAAGTCAACGATTTTCGCCGAAAGTCAACGGTCAACGCCGGAGTCAATGGTCAATGGTCATAATAATATTTAAATAATTAAAAATAAAGATTTATTATTTAAATCAAGATCTAAATCTTGTGTTATGATTGGTAATGTCAACAACACAACCATTGTCGTGCACCATGTAATTGCAATATTGATAAAAATGAACCTTCAATATTATGTTTGAAGTAACCTTATAGTTGCGGAATTGAACATAATATATATGTAGCTAAATGAAGCTTAGATATTTTGTTTTCATGACTTCCACACTAGTGTATCCAGTGGTCAATTAGTCAAAGCATGGCAATAGCAAAAGAAGAATTTTTCTGCAAACCCTATTTTCTTGAAATTAGGTTTAAATTTACAAACTTGTTATGGCCTGTAACATCAAATGAAGTTTGTGATTTCTCCATCATTTTAAACACATACGACTCAAGACAAGAAATGAAAAATGAAAAAATGAAAGTTGAGATGAGTAATAAAAACATAACTGAATGTCTATTTAATGTATAAAGACGAGTAATAAATATATTTGTTGCAATAAAATAATTTCTGCTCAATCTTTGATTTCACAAAACAAAATATATGTTTTAATTGCGTGTGAACTAGGAGGTGTGTGATATACCATTGAAAAGCCAAAGGATTTTCTAAAACAAAAAATATCACTGAAAAGCCGAAGATTTTCCATATAGAAGAAAAAAAAAAAGAAAAAAAAACATTCAAATATGGTAGGCCTAATGGCAAAATAAAGCACAACATTTCACGTTGTGATAATTTAATCTAAACATTTAACTAATTGCAGGTAAATCCCGATTTGGTCCCAATTTTACAAACCTAACTCACTTTCAATTGGCGGCCACTCTTTTGCCAGTGTGTCCGACAACTTAAGATGACATAAGTGGTTGTTTGAAGATGCCATGTCATTAAGGTAACAAAAAAAAATGGCATTTTTCTTTTCTTTTTTTTTTTTTGAAAAAAAATATTAATAAAACTCAACTTTATAAAATTTTGCATGCACGGACACGCATGATTTTTTTGAGTTTGAAATAAAAAAAGAACACCGAGAACATCTTTTGAGTTTGAAATGCACTTAGATGAAAGTTGGTGTCCTTATTTGCTAATTTCTAAAGTTGAGGTTTTTTCTGTCAAAGAATAATAAGGTCATAATTTTATTTTATTTTTTTTTCATTCTTATTTTTTTGCAATCAACCTAATGATGTGGCATCTCAGCCAATAAATGGTCCACGACATCATCATAAGTTATCGACCTTGCAGGGAAAAAAGTGGCTGCCCACCAATGTTGGGTTTCATTTGCCAAATTAGGACAACGTTGGGACATAACAACTACTCAAAGTTTGGATTAAATTTCAAAATGCACGTAAGGTGATGCTTTATTTTGCAACTAAGCCAAAATAGTAAGTATGGAAGTATAAAGTCTAATAGAATGGTTTGAGTTGTGTGAATTTGGTGAGCTCATCAAACTTTTTGTTGTACATTCATTCAAATTCATTGCTTCTTGTAAATAATAATCAGCCCCTTGTTATTTTTCATTTAATTTTCATTATTTGTTTCTAGTTTCTAAGTCTTCCTTGTAAAAGGCTCTATCGTACGTAATAAGGAGGAGGAACAGTGAAAATAATTGAGAATATACCGCATCTTAAGATTTAAGATTGTTTTGAGAAGATATTATCTTCTTATTTTGCTTTAAACTCTTGGTGGATTCTTAGAGTGGATGATTCTTGAGTATGTACGATACTGGCTATCAACTCTTGGTGGATTCTTGAGTTTCCCATCTATGGATTGATCTCGAGGCTAGTGAATGGTACCACCATTAAGATTTCGTTTCCATAGTAAGTGAAAAGGTATAGCAACAAATGATGAGTATTATCCTAAGTGTGCATCTGGAGCAGTGTCCGCATTATTATACAGACGGATCTGTGGGACTTTAATCTTGGCGAGTAATACCTCGACCGTATAGTTGAGATCGGTCAGAAACTCGGGGCCAATTGAGGTAAGCGAGAAGAAATATCAAAGGTAGGCGGTTGACGGGGCTCGACAGCTCCATATCAGCAATGCGCCTTTTAAAAATAGCAATCTCCGCAGATCTTTGTGCGGGACAACTTGGATTTAAGATGTAGGAGGAGATCGGTGCGTAATGGGTTGTTGCCGAGCCAATCAAACACAGTGGTACTAGTTGAACTGGACCTAGCTTCAAATAGACCATGACTTTTGTTTATGCCTTCTCGAGGGTTATAGGTGAGGGCTTTGCCTCTGTCTTTCGTAGTCTCCCATAAAACGTGGGAGTCTACCTCATAGGATGCGGATTGCTGGGAGATGACAGTTTTCTGTGTCAGTTTGGGGCGGTTTGCTGATTCAGAGTGGTTTGGAATTTCGGGTGAGGCATCGTGGAGAGTCCGAGAAAATAGGCCGGTAATCCCTTTAATAATGATAAGATTGGTGAAATTTTTGTTTATGTCAGTAAGAGGAGAAGTGTGTCTTTCTTGGTTGTTATTATTGTTCTAGAATTGTTGGGAGATGATGACATGCTGATGAGATGATAATAGTTTGTACTAGAAATATACATGAAAATAAGATAATGGATTCACATATAGGTATACTAAAATCAAAGCCTCATGCTAGCGTCAATTTATTACTATTAGAAATCAACAATAGAGATATGACCAAATGCAGAGTGTAATTAATAAGATCTAGACAACAATTGGGATGCCATAAATGCTTTTTATTAAGCTTTCATGTTTTTGTTGTGTATTTTGCATGCACTCTGTAACTTTTTGATATCTTTCTTTTGGAAAATGTGTTCACGATAGTACAATTTATACTAGGAAAGACGGGGAAAATAATCATGGCCGCTTGATGAGTGAGTCGCTGGACACGTGGCACATGTTTTAGGGTCCTTCATCTAGAGAGATTAGTGGTAGCACAACTTTTTGGGATGAGACATGCAACCAGTTCACTGACGGAAACCTTGATTATATTGGGTTGTTCAATTCGGTTGATATAGCCCCATCTCGGTTGAACCAGACCAACACCTCAGAAGCAAAAGATTTGTGCGATTGGCATGGCCGCGTGTTGTTAGACGGTAAATTTGAATTTATAATTTCTCCTAACTTACCCCTACTAACTAGTAGTAGTGGCGAGCAAGAGTCGATCCTACAGGAAGTGTGGTATAAACAGTGAATTTATTATATTAATTAGATTATAATAAAAATGGGGAGGTTTGATTTGAAACTAGAACTACTCGCAAAGCAAAAATATAAACTAGAACTAAAAATAAATTACTAGAATGCAAATGATGATAAAACCGAAAATAAATAAAAACAATCTGGCAAAGATGAGAATGAAATCGGTTCCAGGTTGGTCTACACCCTCGAATAACTAGCCCAATTAATGCATTTTATCAAATTTCACTCGTCTTCTAAAACTACCGGTCCTAGATAGCAATAAGCTCTGCTACCCGAATTTTCCCTTAATTTATACTTGATCGAAATAGGCTCTTCAATTAATTCTAACTAGCGAATAACTCGGAATAAGCTCTCCTAATTTAACCCACTAGTCGCATTAAAATCTAGGAAAATAGACCGATCTAAGCCACAAACACATAAGCTCGGTTCATGTAACTTATGTTGTGCTATCCCTAACAATGCACGACTGTTAGTTGCTACAAACGAAATAAGAGCGACGACAATTACGGATCGAAGCCTCAAATCTAGCAATTAACATGCAATTCCTAACTTAGGTGATCAAGCTAAATTAAAA